AAAACTGCCCGCATCCCGATCTGTGAACAATGAAAACTGCCCGCATCCCGATCTGTGAACAATGACAACTGCCTGCATCCCGGCTCTGTGAACAATGAAAACTGCCCACCTGGAAACAAGGGGGGAAGAGGAAGGAGTCACAGCTGCCTCCGCAGGCAGGGGTGTCAGGACCCTCCATGTGCACGGAGCACCCTCTAAGGTCAGGAAGGGGCGGTGGTGGCAAGCCCAGGGGCCAGCTGAGACACCGACCCCACGCTCGCCCCCGGCCCTCCGCCAAGCGTGGCTGAATCTCCTTCTGCGAGCCACCGCATCTGAGGGTCCCTGACCCCATCCTCACAGGATGTTGCTGTTCCACTGGTGTCGGTCCTGAGGTGCAGTCCAGCCCCTTCTCAAACCGCCACAAGAAAAAATCCACTCACCTTAAGTTTCCAGGGTTTTTATACCAACCAACCAACCAGACCCAGTGCCACCAAGCTTCCTGGTGAGCCCCTGCGTGTCCGAGCAGAGCTGGGTTCCATGGGGTTTCATACCTTCACAGGACGGAGGGCCAGAGCATGGAACACGCAAAGCCTCATCATCACTCAGGTTCACCAGCCCCCTCGGACCTTCCCTCTCTCCCCAGCCTTCCTGGAAGTAACCCCCATCTTCCTGACCACCAGGCTCCGAGGTGCACCTCCCACCCCAGGTAGGCTTGTTAAAACCAAAACCAAACCAAACACACTGCAGTCGAGTTGGACCTGACTCATAGCGACCCCTCCTTGGGTTTCCGAGGCGGTATCACTACGGACTATTACTAAAGGTGCGCGGTAATGTACCAGTGTTTCTTTGCTATTCATAAGATTTTCCCTGGCCAATTCTTTGAGAAGTGGATGGCCTCTTCCTTCTACCTAGTCTGTCCCAGTCTATAAGCTGGGCTGTTACCTGTGCACCAGGTGCATCTCACTGGGTTTTAAACACCAGAGGCTCAGCCTCAAAACTCACGTCTACGTGTCACCACAGTAGGACAAACCGACAGACAAGTTTGTCTTGCTGTTGGAGACCTCTCGTATCACCCCCAACTGGGTCCCTGTGGCTGACCGTACCTCTGTCTGGCTTCCTGGCTTTTAATCCCCTTTCTCCTGCTCTTCCCACTGGCTACTTCGGGCGTCCCTGAGTTGTCTCTCCTCACCTGTAACCCTGGGGCTGACCGCTCTTCTGTCTGGGTTCCTGGCTTTTTGTCCGCTTTCTTCTGCTCTTTCTTTGAGTTGTGGTGCTGGCGAAGAATGCTGAAAGTACCATGGACTGCTAAAAGAACTAACAGATCTGTCCTGGAGGAAGTGCAGCCAGAATGCTCCTTGGAAGCAAGAATGGCCAGACTTCATCTCACCTATTTTGGTCATGTTGTAAGAAGGGACCATTCCCTGGAGAAGGATGTCATGCTTGGTAGGGTGGAGGGTCGACGAAAGAGGGGGAGGCCTTCAACGAGATGGATTGACACGGTGGCTGCAATGATGGGCTCAAGTACAACAGGGATTGTGGGGCTGGCGCAGGATCGGGCAGTGTTTGGTTTTGCTGTGCATGGGGTTGCTATGAGTCGGAAATGACACGACGGCACTTAACAACAACAACAACATCACTATGGAAGTAGATTGCCCAACCTTCCTTCCAAGGAGTGGCTGGTGGGTTTGAACCGCCAGCCTTCTGGTTAGCAGTCAAATGCCTTAGGTACCACACCACCAGGCTTGTTAGGAATCCCTTATTTGTCATGTTGCAGGCCTTTCTTGAAGCGGACTTGGGTGAATACGCAGTCCCTCCACATTCCTCAGGCACCTCTGAACTGGCCCCAACTTGGCCCTACCCCCAACACAAGACCAGATGGTGATGGTCCTTCTATGGTCTCTCTTGCAATGCCCGGTGCGTCTGGTGCAGTCATGTGTCTGGAGTGCTCCGTATGGGATGACTGGCTGACGACTCACAATGTGTAGTGTCTCTGTGTCCCCATCCCCATCTCTGCCTTCCTGCAGCCCCTGGGGAAGGCACTTTGCTGGTTGGCCAGCAGACACCACCACCAGTGCCACAGGTTCCAGCAGGCCTGTCTCAGAGCTGTCAGTCACAAACCACCCTTCAACCTCATATGTGCCACCTACCTGGGCTGAAATTCAGTGTCCTGACAGGAAACAGAGTAACTACCTCAGGACTGAGCAAAGAATGGGAAGACAATGTTTGTGGGATGTTGCTCACTGTCCTGGGTACCTCAGAAGACCCCAGTGAATGTGAGCTATCACTAGTCCTGTCGGACACTTGTGCAAAGCACTATGCTTGGGGTGCAGTAACAGGAACAAATGAGACAGTCCACTGTGTTAGTGTAAGCCTGTCGTACAGTCACCCATTTGGTACGTGTGCACGCAACCACACACACACACACGCATACACGAGTATCTGTGTCTGACGGTAAGTCCACTGCTCGACTGTCAGCATGTCCTACAGACATCTATCCAGCATGTGTGTACACACACACGCACGCGTGACTGATGATGTTCAGTCCACCACCTGACCATCAGCTTGTCCTACAGACAGACATCTATCCAGCACGTGCACGCACACATGCACACACACGAGCAACTGACTGATGACGTTCAGTCCACTGCTCAACCGTCAGCTTGTCCTACAGACATCTATCCAGCACGTGTGTAGACACACACACACACACACACACACACGAGTGACTGACTGATGACGTTCAGTCCACTGCTCGACCGTCAGCTTGCCACACAGACATCCATCCAGCACACACAGAGGGTTCTGAATGGCTGACTTCAGAAGCACATCGTCAGGCTTTCTGTTAAGTGAACTTGAACCTCCAGCCTTTTGGTTCGGAGCCAAGCATATGTGAACTGCTTGTACCAACAAGGGGTTATGTGTATGAATCGGTCATCTGAAACCCAGCACCTTAGTGCAGAAGGGATGCTGTCATTTAAGATACCATTTGACGAACCCTCTGGCAGAAGAGTTATTTTCTCCGGAAGGTCATTTCCCCGTGGAACCTACCCGTCCCCATGGCAAGCTTGACACCAGGTTCAACACTTCCATAGCACTGTGGGCCTCCTCGCAGCACAAAGTGGGGTACAGCAACATAGCTAGCTGTGTACTTCTAACTATCACAAGTTTGTAAGTTCCACAAGGGTCGTGGATCGAAATGCTCAGGTCCCCAAAAAGATATGCTGAAGTCCTAACCTCTGGGGCCTGTGAAGGTCATGTGAGCTGGTTTGGAAACAGGTTCTCTGAAGATGTCACCAGCTCACCTGAGGTCATATGGAGGAGGGTGGGTCCAACCCCATCTCTGATAGTTAAGGTTATGAGTCAATTTGGTTGGGCCTGGTTTTGAGTGACTGGGCCGACTGCCCAATCTTCCTTCCAAAGGTTGGCAGTCTACTTCCGTAGTGATATTGCCTCGGAAACCCAAGGAGGGGTTGCATTCATTTTTTGTTAGGGCAACTGGAATGTAGTTATTCCCCATGGTGAGACTGGTAATCAATTCCATGGTAGAATTCACCGGAGCAGCTGAGTAGTTAGGGATGTGGTCTGCTTCCAGAACATAAGAAGAAGTGTAGAGAAAGGTCTGGC